AGTGCTATAAATTAAGACACTTGGCGGGTTTTCTCATCTTTATTTAGTTGACTAAATAAAGATGAGAAAACCCGCCAAGTGTTTTAATTTATAGCACTTTATTGTGTTAGAAGCATAAACAACGTTTAGAATTGATGAATGGATTATCTACTTTCATTTGTAACGTCTTTCTGGGCCACAAGAAAATCCACCAGAAATCATTGTCAATATTGTTCTGAACCAGCACCCGCAGTTGCAGACAAATCTGTCTCTCCTATTTCAGGAGAGACAGATAATCGAGTCTTACGGCTCAGTGTAAAAGGGCGGAACACAAGATGACGTGAAAGTGTTGAGTCGGAAAAACATTGGGAACCCAGTGATTCTTCTTTTCATTCCGTGTCAGATCACAGGATTTTGATGGGAAAAAGCTAACTCTTGGGCCAAGTCAATAGCAATCATGAAATACCAAACCGGTAGTGCCTTACGACATCGCCCATTGCCAAAGCTAGATATTTCAGAAGGATGACTGGGAATAGGAAAAAATAGCTCCTTTCTATTTCGATTTCAGACCTAAACTTGAAGGACTTAAAAAAAAAAAAAAAAAGCCTTAGACCGCAGGCGCCTATTAATGCAAAAACATTTGAAAGATATATCTGTGTGTGTGTGGATATTAATATGTGTGAGACACATTAATATCCATACACATAGAAATATCTTTCAAATGATTTTGCAATTCTTGATGTTTCGATGTTCCCAGTCCAAAAACGTAAAAATCTCGAGGTTATGTTTTGATCGATGACCATACTACTGTATTCCTCTGTTGTAAATAGCAGCCGGGAAAGTGAAAAGTTCAAGATTTATACAGATTTTTATTTTAGAAATCACATAACCATCATATTCATGTGTTCATGTGTTAAAATGAATAAAATGCATTTTGATTATAATATCTCGAATATCTGTAAAAACATTACAAAATTCTCATTACAAAACTGACAGTTGTACCACATACCACTCAGCTTTTGGTATCAAAGCAATGCCTGAAAGTGTCGAGACTTCATTGACCACCCAACGTAGGCAGTTCCGGTAATCATGAATGGTATCCGATCAATTCTTACAATGTTTAGTGACGAATTCTTCTTCTCTTTGGTCAAAGACGATTATTTCCACGAACAAAAGACGCGTGATCATCGTTCCAATCTTGCTGTAGTAATTCTTAACTGCAGTCTTGCTGCGTACGATCATAGGATACAATCTAAACAACTATCACTCATGACAGCAGATCTCTCTTGTATTGCTACAAGACATATTATGTCAGTTCGTTGATAACATCATGCAATCAATTGTATTGCCTATGATGTCACGTCCTTCAAGGTTATTTATCAGTTTGATAAAGCCAGACTACAAAAGGCGAGAACCTTGTATACGTGGGGTTTTATATCCTTCCACCAGGCCTATCGCCATGTGTGGAATATGTTAGGAAATAGTTGCAGCCATTACGAAATGTAAGGGATATGTAGAACATCTAGCAGAATCTATCCCAGGACAACGGTTTCGTATGGCCCAGGCGAATTTCAATTAGGCTTGCCCAAGTACTTCAGACATTTTTCTTCGGAAAGATTTCCGGTGAAAGATTTTCTTACAAAAGATTGGCTTGGGGTCCATGTCAATTGCTCATTTTGTCCGTAGGATAACGCGCCATTGCCGTTGCATGTATTTTGTTTTGAGATTCTGTTTTTAAATTATTTACATCACTTAAAACATAATCTGTTTTCGGTACGGCTTCTAACAAAAATTAGAGTTCGAGACCTTCTTTCTATATCCGTTAGTCTAAATTGTTTTTTTTTACAATTATATATATATAAGCTTCTATAAAAAAACCCTGAAGTTTTGTAAAATGTGATATTTAATAAATTAGATTTTTAAAAACGTCTTGCTTTACACACTTTACGTATCATCACTGTTCATTAGGAAGTGAAGTGTTTGCTAGATTTAGACCCTGTTTTAGTTATTTTATCAGGATTTTAATCTTAAACTGGATAAACAAAAATTCCTTCGCCAATTATTTGTTCGAATAATGATTTTTTTCGTTAAATATAATGGGATGATAAACGAAACCTTTAAGGTTTTTTCCGACATTCTTATTTATACAATAAATTCTGAAATTCGAATATAATTTTGATACAGTGGACCTTCCCTATAACACGGTAGATAATTCCGTGTTATACGAATTCCATGTTGTACGAGTCACTTAGATTTTACAAAGATGTGTGCAGGGCTGTAAACGGCTAAGTGACTCATACAACACTTGTATTAAATACATAAGAAGAGAAACACGTGTCACGTCAAAACGTTTGTCTTGAGATACTCGAGTACAAAAAAGTTTTGCATTGCTCCTTTAGAATATTGCTTTGGTTTGATGTAATATTACAACGTAATACACGAACGATCTATACCATCGTTATGCAAATCATGACGATCTGCTAAAGGAGTATACATCCCGGGAGGCCTTTCTATGAGAAACTTATTTAGGCGTTGGGCACCTTGAAGAAAACATGGGCAACTCCATATTGACAAACTTGTTTGTCAGATGAGAAGACATTACAACATTACTTTTTCGGTTGTTTACGAAGAGAGAAGTTGATGAAAATTATTTTGAAGGGATTAGTTTATTACACAGAAGTTACAGATTATCTGAATTACTTTTTTTTGGGGTGATTTCAAGGAAACTTCTTCACCCACTTCTATGTGTGTCACAAATACTTGAAGTAGATATGATGACGAGAGACAGATCAGAGAACGAACAATACAACGCTTATTCGTTATACATTGATTTTCTAGAAATATTCTGCATTATGACTGTCGTTAATCTAGTACTAATGATAATAAAGGAAGATTGTACGTGCAGCAACTCTTTCCACTCGATAAAAGAAGTTTCTCTTTGCTCAGGGCTGTGAAATCGGGTCGTCAAAAATCCTTCGAATCCAACTAATTTTTTACTTTCCCAATCTATTATATATATATAACACGGAAAAACTTTCCGAATTTTTTGCAAATACATATTTTTTAGGCTACCTGAACCCAAAAAATGTCAAATAAAGGGGGAAATTCGTGGACGTTTGTATGTGTTGGCATCTAATTTGTTTAATTTCTTTATTCTCTATTCCATTCTGTGATATTAAACAATATCTCAGAATGGGTTAAAGTTTAAGAAACGAAATTTGGCACGGTAGCCTGTGTATAAAGAGCTATTAAATTTTGGTTCTATATAAATGGACGACAGTGTGGAGATATAAAAGAGATCAAACTTCGTATCTTAAGTGTGGTCGGACTTAATAAATATTTTACTGGTTATTAGCATTCATAATTTTTCGTAAAACTCGTCTCTACCCTCAAAAGCTTTTTTTCACTTAAGTTTGTTACATACTAATTAAAAGCTTTCACTAAAAACAACTCCAGTCAGGCGTTATAGCTTCGTGGGACCCAGGCAAATTAGAATAAGGGGCTTCATGTATAGTGTTGACTTCACACATTTTTCTTCGAAGGAACTGACGCCTGTGCCACACCGGCAATTTATGGTCCCCAGATATGGCGCTTAATTTAAATTTCGAATTGATTAATAGAAAAAAATAGTTTATAAAAGAGTAATTTCGTGCCTCCAGTTTGTGAGAGCCCCAGAAAATTGTCCATTTTGCCATAGGATATTGCAAGACCCATACATTATCAATGTCGTCCGTGCTGTTGTTATCTTTTGTTGACCTCGAGAACGGAGAAAAATAGATAACAATTGAGACAAGATACGGAAAGTTTTGGGGCCAGAGGCCTCAATTAACTATATATGAACTTTTTGATAGCGTCTGGATATCACCTGATTTCAATTCAAAGTTTTCCCTTCAAATTGGCATACAAAGAACTCCCAGTTCGTTTTTTTTCGATGAGCTTCGACCATCAGGACTTCAAAAATATTATTTCAACTCTTGAGGAAATTCGGTTTGTTTGAATATTCAACTGCAGGATGCTGTGGCAGCTGAAGTGCCTCCAACAAATACGGTATTTATCGTTGCAAAACACGAAAGCCTTAAGAGCCTCTTAAGCGCACCGTTCGTAACTAGGGTCTTTTTTCGTCAAAATTTCTGAAAATTTTCACGAAAGGCTTGTGTATTAGGGGATTGATGCTATTAAAAATTTGGTAGTTAGGACACCGGACACGTGACATCCTTTAATTATCTCGAGAGTATTGAACTTAACAACTAAAATCTTATTACCATGTAAAAACTTATTTTAAAAATTATTTTTTTATTCATTCACAATTTCACGTCATTTAATTTTGTTTAGATTATTAAAATTTAACAGGAAAAAAAAGACCAAAACATGAATCACGATCGAAATCACATACAGCAATAATTTAGCATTTTCTTCTCTTTAAAACAGGACTAAATAAACGATATAATGTAAATACACTCTTGCTTACAGGTTATATAACAATAATATTGCTGCATTAAAACGAACATTATATAAAGAAATATTGCTATCATTAATTTTAAAATTTTAATCTCCTGTAAATGTAAAACTATTAAATTAATTGGAAGATAAACCTGTAAATAACTGTCACAATAGATTTTGCATGCATTTCGAAGAAAAGTTCCCGAAAAAGTAGCAGTTATTGCAGGTTCAACTGTATTATCGTCCGATATAATTTCAATAATCGGTGTCAACATATACTTTCTGCAATTTTTAACGTTAAGTCTGGCAGTAAAAAAAAATTCCACGTTTAAAATTTAAAATAATATATTAAGTATTTTCGGTCCAGTTAGTACTGCTTGTCTTTTGCAGTGTCGTCCATAATTTTTTAATCTATATACAATTTTACGAGAGTGATTGATGACGGAACGGAAGATTGCTGCATGCACCAAGACTGTTAAAGCGTTACGTGGACGAATCAAGTCTACTTCAGTGCTAAGAGCGAAACGTGATTCCCTATAAACAAAAATTTATATTATATACACACAAATATGTTACTAATAAATCATTCAAAAATATATATTACTACTTACAACAAGATTTCTACTGATACTGCAAAGCAGAACGAAATTGAGAAGTAAAAGAATAGAACGACCAGCGATAACTTTCGATGAGGTACAGAATGCAAATGTCTGGCATATAATGGATAATAATAGAACGTAATTATGCCAATTGAAAGCTGAAATTAATAAAAATTTATATTAAAAAAATCAGAAATCTTATATTATAAAAAAATGATAAGTTATAATTAATAAAAGTCTTACCATGATAGGAGCTATACCAAATATATTTGCAATGAAATATGTAAATAAAGTAAAACATACTTTTAAAAAATCTTTTATGGAAACCATTTTGTAAAAGATAATGTGAATTTAAAAAGTAATGCTTAGAAAGCCCATCACTGAGTGGTTTTCTTGATGATCTTTTATAAGATTACCTTCCATCTACACTGTAATCATGGACAAGAAGAACATGCAAAATAGAATTTCTTATTCAGTTTTATTTTAATTATGATCACGATTGATCATTAAAATTAATCATTTAATTTTAATTAAAATTAATAGAATTTATTTTCTTCTATGGGAATTAAATCATTAGATGTTTTTATGTAAATGAATTTCTTTTCGAAATTTAAATTTAGGTTGGCAGAATGTTAAATGAATTTATATTCCTATTATTAATGTGTTAAAAAATTTGTGTTCATCTGTCTAAAATTATTCTAATCTAAACGGTAAAATCTGCATGAAACAGAGTCGTACGGTACAGAATATTAACCCGATCGGTTCCAGGTTGGACCACGGTCGTTAGGTTTTCACACGTGCAAAAACAATCGACCTAACAAATACATAATTAATAATGAAATCATAATCAGTACACTCCCATTCACAGAAAACATGTACAAAAACGATATTTCTAATAGATGTGTGGAGCTTAAACTATGAAATTTACTAAATTGGACAATTTTACAAACCATACGAATATGGAGCAAGAAGAAACTGAAAATGACGATGAAGAGAAAGAGGAAAGATGCTAGTTGATTCATAATCAAATGTCTTTGCAGTGAGAAAAGTGCCCACAAAAATTTAAAGTAGCAAGCCAATCCTCTGTTTATTCATTCCGGATTTGGACAGAGCAAAGATGGGCTTTTGAAAGTCGTGCTTGAAAGAAATGAAGATTATTCGGTTAAACGTTTTCGAGTTTCTAGATAATACCGAGAGGTTTACATGGATACAATGATTCAACGTAATAAGACCAATGGAAATATCGTATGGATAGTTTATTGAAGGTGACCGATAAACCAAAGCAAAAAATCTTGATGTTTTAGCCAAACCTTGAATCTTTTAATACTCGAAAGACTGTAGTACGAAAATGACTCATTCCCGTTATCTACTGACCTCTTAGCCGGGCTATATCGTGCTGATATCGTAATTGACGGCCGAGGAGTCAGTCGTCGTCCGTTCCTCTTGGACTAAAGTCTTCAAAAACTTTTCTGTGCCTGTGTCAAATTTAACTCGATCGGATTTCACCTTCGACCAACGGCGCCGGTGAGGACGAACCTTCTTGACCCAGACTTTCCCGATCCAGAACGATAACGGACTCCTTTGTCTCAACGAAATCTATCATCACCTTGTGGACATCCTCTACTCCAGGTATTTATCGACTCGCGAACCATTGTAAACTCTGGAGAGAGAGAAAGAACCGCTGAAATATCTAGATTTATTTCAGCTCGATGTATTATAACTAGTTCCGCGGATTTTCCGGATTTATCCGAGAATCCAAGGATTTTTCTAACCGATGAAAATGAACTTTTTACATTTTTTGAACCAAAATCAGCAAAAATGTTCGTTTTATTGGATTTCCTTGCAATTTTTTGAAATAAATTATTGGTGTCAGCGTGAAGTGCAGAAGTGTGCTCAGCCTCGAGGTTATATATTCGGCTATAGACTGGGAAATTTAATGGGTAAGCATAAAAGTTCTGTGTCTCAACTACTACTGAAGTGGGTGAGGGAGCGAAGTTAGCCGAGAGAGACTTCACGGTAGATGGCTCAAAAGTGTTCTGCAAGGTATGTCAAAATGCATTTATGTGCATAAAAAAATTACATTTTAAGAATCATATGCGTTCTTCAAGGCACTTGCAAACAGCACGTCCACAGGATCGAACATCCCAGATGTTGCTCAAAAAATGGAAACCAGGGTCAAAGAAATATTTTTCTTAGATACAGCAAAAACCTTTATAGGATATAATATAGAATTGCATAAACTTATGCATTCCTTGCCCAGGAAGTACTTACAAAAATACACGAAACAAAATCTTCTTGATGAATAAACACTGAGAAAGAATTATCTTCCACGTGTTCTTCAGGAAGTACTTGAAGAAATCCTCAAAAAAATTAGTGACAATGCTACATGGTTTGCTATAGATGAAACTATAGACGTATGCGGACGATATGTTTCTTTAATGGTAGTACGAAAACTTGACGAAAAAGACTGAGCTAAATTTTATCATATTTTATGTAAATTTCTGGAGAAGACGAGTGTACAGGCGGTAGCAAGATTTGTTGAGGAAGGTTTAATGGTGTTGTATAATTATAGTTATGCCATGTTACAGAATGCTGTGTAGTCTGTAAGTATGACGAAAACTTTTTATATAATCTTATTCACGTAACCTGCCTGAATCACGCTTTACATCCTCTGACCAGACAAGTTCGTTTACATTTTAAAGATGTGAAACTCCTCATTTGTTCCGGCAAGAAACTACTTTTCAAACTTTCGCTTGCCAAAGACACTAATGCGAACTGCTATGCATCGTGAGCGTTTGCCAGATACTCCTTTGCCATCCTTTCCCATAGACATAATATGGGGCACTTGGATAAAAGCTTCAATATTCTATGCGGACCATTTACGTGACATTCAAAATTTTATCAATGAACTTGATGAATCAAAAAGTTCTTTCACTGTGGATGTTAAGGAAGCTTTGGAGAATCCATATTTAATATAAAACTGTATTATAATCGTGTTACAAGTATTCAAACATTTTCAAAATTAATAAATAAAACTTTAATTTGTGATAAAATGAATTTTTCTGTTCATATAAAAAAAATTGAACAAGTTTAANTGAAATAACGTGACATCCGGTTTAGCTCGGAAATTCGTATAAGGTCAATTGAGAATTCGGGTCGATAAGTTTTCTATTGTCTGGATTTTCATCTAACCGATCTGTTCTGAAGTTTAAAGAAGTATAGATGACCAAAGTGAAATTGTCGGGGGGTCATCAATTTTGAAATTGCAGAGTAATTACAGATATTTTGAATTACAAATAGCTGTGTTACTTCCCTAACACATTCTTGGCACATTTAAGAATCTCTTGGCTAGCGGTTCTCAAAAGGTGCTCACCTAAACTGTGTATTTAATGTTTTACATTAAGAATATTACATTCTCACATGAAAAAACAAAATTATTTATAAGCATTGAAAAAATGTAAGTAGTAAGTAATTTAATCTGATTTAAAATTGTGATAATTTGACACCATATTTTGAGTTTAAATAACTAAAATGGCGAAGTTAATTTTTACATGATCTTATTGACATTTTAGTAAGTGATTATATTGTAAACAATCCAGCAATTAAGAACTACTTTATCTGAAATATTCTTTCTTTATTAATGTTTTTTCGCTCTAAACAGCAAAATTAGACAAGCATTTTTATACATTTCTTTTTAAAAATTAATTATATTAAAATGTTAAAAGGAATTCTAATATACATATAATATACGTCATTAAAATTACTAGATGTCCCAGTACATAAATCAAAGTGAAACAGTTCGATTCGAATAATATTTCGAAGAACGAACGTCAAGATTAGCTTCCTTCTTCCAAGCTATCCATTATTTTTCATGAAGACATCCTACAAAAATAAAAGAAAAACAATGTAATTAGAATAAAAAAAAACAAAAAAAAAGGTATTTAAAAAAGGGGAAAATACTACCAAATTCACATTAGACCAGCTTAGAATGTACAAGAATATTGTGAAGGAATAAATAAAACCAGTAAATTGCAGAAAGCTTCCAACGTCTTTCGTTGTTTTACGCACACATACGTGTCCAATGAGATAGATAATAGGAATTATCAAGAAGCAAATAGAAAGACAGACGATCTGTGGAAAAAGGAAAACACTAAGACAAAATCTAGACACATTTAAAAACAAAAATAATGTAAAAAAAATTTATTATACAGAAAAAACTGTTGAACAATAATTATTTTTCATAAATTTTAAAAATTTATATGATACTTACGTCAGATACTCGAATCGTGTAAACATCCATTGTCACGTTGGAATTAACTCGAACGTCATCGAAAACACTTAACACGCTCTGAACTGTTTCATCGAGAGTCACTTTTGTTGCATCTACCAACACAGTTTTTATTTCACTAGACACTGTCGTAGAATTATTCATGATTCTTAATACTTTCTCTACACAGAACACCAGCAAATTACGTCTTGTCTCCTGGTCGTTCTTTACAGAATTCCGCGAAGAAAGAATCGTCCAGTCACCTTTATTCTCAACGTGGTTACGCGTATGCAAATATAATGCAAATATCTGAATCATATAATAAAAATATCGAAAGAAAATTATTGAGAAAATTCAATAAAGTTTTATTTTTACTATTTTCTTTTCAAACAACAACGTTTCACAAGCGTTTAATTTATGCAAATTAGTTAAAATCGCGATGTTACGCTCGCCTATTAATTTTTCTTATTCGAAATTTAAATGAGAATTTTAGTTTTATTATTTGGTAAATTATAATAATTTGATTTAAAACTATAAAAATGGCATATAATTATGCGAAGTTTTTAAAATAAATAATTATTTATTGCCTAATTTTAATAATAGACTCATCGTTTACGAATTATCACTTACTCTATATTTAAATTGTGTTATTCTTTTAATTAAATCATAATTATGGATAGGATTCAGCAACTACTTTACTGGTTTTCTAGTTAAAACGTGGTTTTAGGCGTTCCGCTTTACTGTGGCATAATTATTCAGAGTGCCTGAATTACATATTGAAGCAATCTGTGGCATGTTGATTGAATAGTTGAATTGAATAGTTAATCAGCAATCGTAATAAAGTTCCAGAGCTCTTCGTTTGCCGAATAGGTCGTCGCATTAAGACAGGAATTTCGGAGGCCAAAACCTCCATATGACCGGAACTGAAGAGTTCGTATGGAAGTTCTATTCGATAAATACGGCTTTGATATCAAAGAAATAAAAAATCACATCAGAAATAATGCCGCAATGTTCTCATTTCATTATTGTTTTCTTTGGAGTCTTCAATCTTTACATTAGTGATGGATCGTTTTCCGACCGCTCGTCGATCCTAACAGATGGAAAACTCGGAAAAAAAAATGGTGACGGCCTGGATAGACTTAGAATTGTGACTTCAGGCTAATTTGCGATAGGAATTAATTAATTCAATAGACAAAGTTGCATCATTATTGATTAGTTTCATATAATTTTTCAACTGGCTCTTTCTACTCTGGACACAACGAAAGTCTTATTTTTTCTGTATCCGTCGTAGGCTCTGCCAGAACCACTATGACCGTGATTTAGTGGAAAGGTTCAATATATCCTAAACAAACTGCCCAAGAAAAATTTCTTAAGATGCTCGGTCGATTCGATCCTGGCTTTTTTAGAGTGGTAAGATACGCCTTGTTCGCCCGACATCCTAAATTGGATTTTTAGATAATCTATATCACAAGATTACATCACATGCCGTTTCCTTGCGTAAAAATAATTCTTCGCCATTACAAAATATCCAGAAATGAGTTGCTTAACTTTTCGAGCGACATTCAGTGGTGCCATATAACCCATAATATACCCGATCTATGACCTAAATCTCGGTCTGAATAATGATAACTGGATCTGTTGAACACACCGGATATGACAGTTTACCTCGAATTCGACTTTAAATCTCGTATGTGACAGTAGGAATATTCTTAAGTAGACTTAATTTGAGTCAAAGAAGTTAAAGTCACACTTGATTAATTGTGGTTTAAAGATTGTGTGTGGTGAATTTTATCGTGAATACGATTTAACATTAGATAACAAACTGATCTTAACGTTTGAAATAATCCCCAAGTTGCACAGATGTTTGGTGTGACCCAGTCGTTCGCACCGACGGCATATTCTCGGGCGTTTGTCATATTTTCCTGTTCGATAGATGTCAAGTATAGTCGGATTGGGGTAAATCGTTCTGCTGCTAAGATAATGTTGATTCTTCCTGTTGGTACGCTCTGTCCGTTCTGTGTTCTTCAGTAACGTTGAATACGTATGGGGAAAAGGCCAGCTTTCTGTAACAGTTCGAATATTTTTTCCCCCCTGGTTCTGTTGGGACTCCTTTTATTAATATTGTTTGGGTGAAGAATTCCCTCGTTAAATTGATTGTGATTGAAATTTTGGCTCCTTGGATATTGGTCGTGAGGGT